AAGGCATAAAAAATATTAGACATATTTTTTAAGTTTTTATCTTAAGGCAATTTATCAGGTCATTTAAAATGAAATTTTTTTCCAAAAAAATAATGAATTTTTCATTTTTAATATTTTCAAAATGTGAATACATCGTTATTAATACGTTAGATTAATTGTAAGTAACTTTATCACGATTATCACGTCATGTGAGTCAATAACTCACAGTATTTTTGTTTGCATCTATTAAATAACATGTATCTCATAATAGTTAAAAAATTATAAAAATTATTATTATCAAGAAGAAAACTTGATTTATCAATTGCATCATACATTATAATTATTATATCAAGTGGCCTAAACGAAAAGTTGAATATGAGTTACCGACAACCCTCACAGCACAAAACTTTATTTGAAGATATTTGCTGATAATGAAAAGATCTGTTATTTTCGAGAGGTTATTTCAACCTTGAGATAATCGGATAAAATATAGGTCTAATATTGTATGATGCTATACAACATACCCAAGACCTAATAAAATCATGAAAAAAACGGTGAGTTCCGACTGTTCTCTTATCAGAATCAGAAACCTTCGCGTCTTATCTATTAAATTTAAATATTAATACTTATGTTAGAAACTAAACGCACAAGAATAAATAGATTTAAAAAGTTTAAATAGTGGTCTAAATCAAAGAGACGCACGCGCATACGATGCAATCGTCACGTATATAGCTAGACAAAGACGGTTCTTCGTGCGACATATCGATCGTCATGATTAATACTAATTAACGTATGAAATGACATGAGCACGAGTTTCCAACTCTCTGCAAACGCATGTACGCGAATCTAGGCTTATACTTGACACGATAGGAAAATAAGTTGTAAACGTTAAATTATGTAGAGTGTACGAGGATTTATGAATCAGAAGATCCATGTATCCGAAATATCGGAAAGATCCAAAGTGAAATATGTCGAGAGACACGGTCCTGTAATAACACGGTGCTGTCTCTTTGGCGCGAAATGGACCGTTGTATATATCTACACAATAATATAAGATACTCTAATATCTTAAGTTATAGCATTTCAATAATGTCAGTAATAGAGTTCCTCTCTATCAGATTTAATTGATTCGAAGATCCTCGTACAATCTGCGATTAATATACCTTGCACTGTGTGTTTATGCAATCCAATAATTACTAAGTTTTAGAGTAACTTCTGTTGAGTTTTAGAGTAACCCTGTTGAGTTTTAGAGTAACCCTGTGGACTTTTAGAGTAACCATGTGGAGTTTTTGAGTAACTGGGTTGAGCCGATTGAGATTTTCCTGCAAAAAGCTTTTGCTCCATGCGCATAAACGGCGCTACCAAGGAGCCTCGTATCCCGTGTTTCAACTTAATGTGTCTTTTCAAGTTGTCAGATCTGGTCAATGATATCATACATATTTGACATACGTGCTTGTCGGGGTTGTGTGATTTCATGTGTTTCTTTATGTTGGCTACACTCTTGCCGCACTGCTTACAGCACTCCATACCAATCTGCAAGTGCTCTAACTTATTGTGAATGTCTTTATTTATATCCTTTTCTTTTTTTGTCCTTTTGCAAAGCGGTAATCCTGGAATACAAGGTCCGATTTCGATGAATTTATCATAATTAATTAACGATGCCAATTGTGTCTACAATTATCATCCCAAATTACGTAAAGATGATCGATTTCCGTTATCATCCTAAATTTTATTTCTTTACGCAATGTCTAGTCGAATGTCTTCTAAACACTTCAATTAATTTTTTTTTAATTACACGTATATATGTTTCCGTTAATTGTAAAAACACATACGAATGTAAAGTTATAAAATAAAAAAGGTCAAAAATAAATGTTAAATTCTCCCCCCTTTTTGTTATCAGAAAAACCAACTGCCATGAACATAAATGTAATTTCTCTTATAAATGCAAATATTTTATCACAGCTTTTACCTTTTCATTGTAAAATGCAAAAATTATATAAATATTTAAATATGTAATTTTTCTTAAAAAAGTTTTATTAAAGCAAATATTTTAGAAAAATATTATTTATTAAAAATAATATTATTATTCTAATTCGCACAAAATTTATCTTATTAATTTTCCAATCTTTTTCACTATTTTATAGTATATTTAAAATATTGTATTTCATATTTAACATGTTATTTTACTACTGTTCTAATACAAGAAATTGTCATTTTGCGAAAAGAAATATTTTCGATGATAACGTTAAATAGAACATCCTTTATGCTTCCTATAAGATACATTCTACGTCAAATAGTTACAGAGAAGAAGAAATTCTCTCAAATACGTTCAAAATCAATGAAGATATCATAACGAACACCACACTCGTATTACAGGATAATGTACATTGTACTTAATAGAATTGCTTGATTATCTTTCTTGTTTTTATAAGCGCGCTAGAAATATAATATATAAAAATTTTGCTTATTGCGGAGAAGAAATAACGTAGACATAAAGAAAATATAAAAAGATCCTAGGACATAATAATTTTTAAAAAATTGAAATTACTTTGCGTTTATCGAAACAAGACAGAAAATCGATCAATTCTATTACGAACTTCACCCCGTGCTTCTTCTCATCTATAATTACCTACTCGTAGCAAATGTCAATACCATGTAAGAAAAAAAGCGCAATTCTACTGTCATCTCATCGCGTTCCAAGAGACTAAAGATACTGTCACAATACAGTACAGGAGAGAAAGAATAGAGAAAAGAGATGCCAAAATTGACCTACTGAAAAAGGAAACCGAATGAAAAATAGACATTCAAGTGTGAGAATTCCGGCGAGGAAATTCGCCGATTCAACTCCACGGTAAACGTTCAGTCTGCGGAGATCGCGATACGGACTATCGACTTTGTCCTCAGCTCTTAAACACCGCCCATACATAAATTGCTCCGTCGGAGATCAAACGCGCGCATCTCGCGGCCACTGGCAACTATTGCATAATGCAGCTCGTGCAACATTTCAGCTAACTAGATATAATATGAATATGCAATCAAGAAGTACGTAATCTAGTAACTATCAACGACAGCGGCGGCAATGATGACGACGACAACGACGACGATGATGATGACAATGACGACGACGACGACGACGACGACGACGACGACGACGACGACGACGACGACGACGAGATCGTTATGAAGTCGAGGTTGCAAAAGAAAAACGAAGAATAGCGTTAGCAACAGAATCTATTTAACGAGCGGTTTAATCGCGTATGCTTCTTCGAGTATAATCGTTAGAAGGAAAAAAATTATACCTAGAGTCTTCCTGCTGCTGCTGCTGCCGCAGTTGGCGACTATTATTAATGCATTGACGATGCGCGGTGGATAAGAATCGTGTGACTAAAAATAAGCGTGACGTATTAATGGACGAACGATAGTAGATAATTCGCGAAAAGTGAAATTTTACCTGATAAATTCACCTATATATACTTTTTATAGATTACGTATATGAAACTTGAATCCTCAGATCTTGCAATCCCTGACTACGTAGAGATCCTCAAATTAGAGAATTTGCAAATTCTGGAGTCTAATAATCTAATTGGAACATCTTAATCTCTAATTTCAAGATAAGTTTTCGGGATAGCCAGATCCTCGGATCCTTCGCTCTTGTATAATCGCGTTAACCTTCATATCCATCTCGTGGTATCAAGTAACGTAGCGTAGGAAACGTCTTACGTAACGAATTTTTTTTTGCCCGCGGCCAGCAACTTTATTAACGCAAACGACGGATTGCGCAACGAGATGCGCAACGACTGCACATTTTGTTGCTAATATTCTCGTTCACTCGTGTAGATCGAAACGAACAGCGCAAGAGAAACGTGAGAATATAAGATCAAGATCGCCAGGCACGGTGACGCAAGATACGGCAAAAGGGTATTTAAGAGAATAGGAAATAAAAACAGCACATAAAGACATGCACAGAGAGTCCCGCCATGGAAGTATTGCATATATGCGTACATCTGCGTCTGCACGTGCACGCAGTCTACGTATATATGCTGTATATATGTATGTCTTATATATAATACAATATATATGACATAAGTATGTACATATCTCATTTCGCACACACGACACACATTTACACGCATTCACGCAAATGGAGTTCGTTAATGTGGCATCACGCATTCGCACGCACACGCACCACGTGCACGTGTAAGAACAGCGAGATGAACTCAGCCAGACGCACCCACACACCACCACAATCTCGGACACGGATTAAAAAAAAAAAAAGAAAAAAAAAGAGATAGGAGTACAGTCCATTTGCTGATACCAGTCCCAAACCAACGAGAGTTTTGTTATGTTTTATTTCTTTCTGTATATGTATTAACACACGTAATTAAAACTACCACAATGACGTAGCAAATGCACGATACCATCACCACAACACCAAGGGTTCATGTAATATACACATGTAGTTTTATATAAATATATATACATATATTACATATACATGTACATATATATACATATATATACATATATATAAAGGTCTTCCATTTTCTAAAGTTACACTCACTACAGTTGCCAGATTTGGAAATAGAGGGATGCTCGCTTCGGACGACACCTACGTACGACTCGACTCGTGTCAAATCCTTGCAAATACGTGCATGCAGATCTCCCTCGATTTCTTAGATGTAACATATTTCCCACACACTGACAAAGAAATTCTCCCGTGATGTCGAGTGATCACGCTTTCGATACGCGCGAAGTGACGAGTTTGATTATTAATTAAGCGAATTAAGCGCGATGTTTTACAACGAATAAATGTTGGATAATGCGTTGTCGTATTATTGTTTAGAAGTTTGAAATTTAATCCCATTCGAATGATAATATCTGAGATAATCGAGTATTTCAACATGCATAATGTACAAGTTAATCACAGCTCAGAACGGCTTAGTACAAAATGTAAAAAGGAAATATGTTAAATCTAAACGAAATTTTGGTCGTAAAGTTGGATATATGTGTGCAGATCTTACCATCAAGTCCGTCGAGCATTTCCGGAGGATTATGGTGCTCGGATGATTCAATCCCTTGAACACCATCACTGAGTGCTCCTGCTGTGGCCCCTCCATCTTCTCCTATCAGTCCAACTGGATGACCCTGCACATGACATAATCACAGATGTATACATAAATAGCCGGCAATAGTGTGAAACCTAGTTCACGTTTTATGACATTTTAACTCAAATACTATCTGCAATCACATCCTCGAAAGACAAAATCTTTGTGTTCTTAAACTGAGTAATGTTATTTAAATTTATACATACATATATAATACTTTTTTTGATACCTGAATATCTTGTAGTTTTAAATAGAAATGATTTAAAAAAAAAAATATATATATATACACGTCTAAAAATACTTTTTGTTCCTATTTATATATAAAAGATAAAATAATATTTAAATAATATTTAATTGTAGGAGGTTAAATGTTATAATCAATATAATTCCAAAGAAAACATTATTTTTAGAACAACTCGATTTATTGCTCAAAGATATAAAGAATCTGTCACAGAACATGATCTCAAAAATATATACTTTGGCATCTTTTATCTCACATGTTGAAAATTATGTGGTATGCTTATATAATACATCGAATATATAACAACATATACAATTATACATCGTATATGTTTAAAAACAAGCAAGTTCAACTTTTTTATAAAGACCAATCATTTTGGAAATATATCGCCTCGTAGTAAATAATTTATTTGACAATATAAATTGCAGATTTTATCACTTATCTATTGAAATTATTTGCATGATTTCTGAAAAAAATTATATTTCATAATTATATAAATTATATTTATAATTTGTAAATATATAATTGTTTTTTCATATATTGTATCATCTCAGATAATATATATAATATATACACATTACAACATAACATTGGAAATATTGCTATAATGTATTAATAGAATAATTGTATTATATAACTGTATTAACACTATTATGTATATTTATGCATTGTTTTTTTAACAATAAAATAATGTACACATAATAAACTGTTTTAACTTAAGCGATAATAATTTTAACAGTGATAAAATTATTTGATAATAAGAACTTGCTTCTGTAAAAACATATTTAACAAGTGTAAACTTATTTGTAATATTGTATTGATGCAATAAAATGACTATAATACAATCTAAGTAAACTTTAGCATTAAATACAATATAGAAGTAAAAAAGTGTCCAAAACTGGAATATAAGAGAAATCGAGAAAAGGAATTTTTGGAAAATCTGAAAGTACATAATTATCAGAAATTTGGTTGTTAAAAGGTAACGGTTACAAGCAAATTCGAGTTACCATAAAAATGTCTAGTTTTTTGATATAATGAAGTTGAAGTACCTGACGTGTGCGAAAGATTATTAATTACAGGTTCGGGTGTTTCGTTTTGTTTTAAAATAATTATTGTAAGCAATATCAATTCTTATTAGATCGTTAAATTTCAAACCAAATGAAAACAATGCCGCAACGGTCTAAGCTGGATCACGGGTGCTTCTAAATAATTGTGTGTGAATTTATATACTACGTATGTAATTCTTCGATTGCACGCCGAAATTTTTTCAGACTTGAAACACGCAACACTAATAAACTACCGTAGTAGTATCACGAGTTAAATTGACTGACAATTTAACGATTATTGATGCTGTTTCGAACCCGGATCTCTGGCGTTCCGTGCGAGTGAACCTATACCAAAAATTAATTATTATAAGTTTGCTTAAATTTTGTTGCGCGGTTTAATAAAACAGGAATTTCTCAAAATTGTTGATTTTTCAAATGTGTTGAATATTTATAAACAATAAGTCTTTTAGTTATTAAATGAGCGCAAAATTAATTATAAATTAATAGATCCAGATATGACACAATAAGAGGCTAGCACGTTTTTGTCGTATAAGTGTAATGTTTCCTTCCCTCGTTTTCTTTTGCTACGCACAGCTTATGTGCTTTACATTTATCATGATGGTTCACGATCTCTAATCTAAAATTGCCATTTCCTGCAGCAAATGAAGTACGAATTTCTGGTATAGATTCACTCCACTTTCTACAGTATTTGCAAAACATAAGATTCGATCGTTCATCATACTGCAGCCAGGAATACATGCCTAACCAGCCCGGCTTAAATTTACCAGCTTTTCTATTTTGCGAAGTAGTACGCTGCAAATTTGCGCATTGAATTGTCGGCTGAATTACAGATAATCCTGGTTCCTGATTTATTTGTAACGATCTATCACTTTCAAGTCTCTTAGCAACTGGATATTCGGGTAACGATTCGTACGACTGGGTTTGATCAATGCTATTGCTTTTATACAAATGATGCGCGTTCATAGATACGACTTGACTTAGCGGATTATGTGAATTTCCGGGGAATTCAGACGCAATTCCCGACAAATCGACATAGAAAGAACCTCCAGCCATGATGGCACTTTCGCGAGAAACTTGCACCCCAGCGGAATCTGGACGATTTGAAGTCATGTTCTGTACATCCATAGTTTCGTCACTCTTCCCACCTCTTTGAACCTCCCACTCCATATTAGTCTGTCAACAGAGAAGGAAAGGATATGTGCTTAATCAACACATCTCGACCAATTTTTTTTTTTAGCAGAAAAAGCCAATTCTGTAATCTCTAATTAGAAAAATCCCTTCCTTCCCATGTTTGTTTCGACTATAGGACGACGGTAGGTAATTGTCGTCAATTGTGGGAACAGTAACGAAACTCCGTTATAGGGATAATTATCTTCACGATATATCACGAGAACTTTGCACTTCGTTTACGACTGTGCAAAGTATATTTAAGCAAGAAGAAGCATACAGCATCTTCGGAAAAAAAAAGCGGATACAAAATAAAAATATCTAAATGGACACATAGAATCTAAGCTACATGCTGTAATAATATGTACTAGAGTACTTTGTTACGCAAACACTTCAAACCACAAAAAATGTTTAACCTATTCATGCATTATTTTCAAGTTTAATCTAAATACATTTCTTTAAACATTTAAGTATTCTTAAAGAAATATCTTACAGAAGTAATGCATTAAATATAGTAATGCATAATTATACATAATTACTTTGAAAATTACGTGTTTAGAGATAAATGTAATAAGATAAGAAATAATAAAATTTCCTAAGTTTTTTGTAGTGCATGTGACTTTAGATAAAGAAACCAAGAACATAAACAGTCTTATCATTATTATCTTTTATGCAATCAAGATAAATACATAAAAAAATAATTTTCTTTAACTGCATCAATAATACTTTCAAATAAACTGATGTACTTATAATCAATTCTTACCAAAAAGGAAGATTATATACACATATATTTTATTGCATGTAAGAGCATAGATCTTGCAAAGTTAAAAAAAATTTTAACAAAGTTAGCATCTCACGTTATCAAACAAGTAAATGTACAAGAAAAAGCGAAGCGAATACATATATGCAGGGCAGAAATAGGAAGAAATGATTAATCAAAATTAAAATATGAAATGCATAAATGACGAAAATTACTTACGGGGAGGGAAATATTGTCATGGAAGTCGGGCAAGTGGTGATCCACCTCTTGTTTAATAGGAGCCTGCGGTTGTGAAGCAGGGGACATGGGTCGACCACCATCTTCCATCTCAACTCCCAGGGCATTATTTAACTTTGGAATCACAGGAGGACTTGATTTGTAACTACACTGCGAGGATGTCTGAAAATAATCAATCAAAAAAATTTTCTTCATCTTTTTCTAAGTGCTAGATCTCATGCCTCGACATGATTACTAATTGTAAAATTTAAGGTTAAAAGCTTATTTTTTTAAATAACACTCATCTAGATGATAGGTAGATTATTCTCTTTATTATTATTATATATCATCTCTATTTCTATTTATATATCTATATTATATATCATCTCTTTATTATTATACATCATCTCTAGGTAGATTATTTCTCTTGCTTAAAAATGTAATACATGGATTTATATTATAATAAACTGACTAGGTTTTTGTGTTGTGTAATAACTGTTGTATATTTACTGTTATATACTTGTAACTAAATTGCATTTGACGTTTTGAAATAGACGAATTATATCTCTTTCTGAATATAAGAGTCTTATGTCAAAATATATATAAAAGTATATAGGAAGTACACTATGATTAAAGATTCTATAACAGAATCTGGCCATGAGCAATTTTATCAAAAAACAAGAGCATAAAGGAAGAGCATTTGTACTGTCTCTTTTTATACATACCATCTCATTCTAACTTATACTATCTTACTCATTCCAACTTATTGAAGTTGATAAAAATGACGGGCCAATCAAAAGTTTATTTCGTGGTCGGACTTTGTTATAGGGTCTTTAATTATGATGATATCTGTCTCGTGAATTATACAGCAGGTAATAGCATTTGGTCTGAACTCTTCAAGGTTATAAAGTTTATTTGGAAAGCTGTGCAATCACAGGCACATGTATAATTTGTTGATAATATGTATGAGACCATAATCAACCAGAATTTTAAGCAGTAGCACAAGTATACTGATATATAAAATTAATATTCATATAAATTTATTTAGAGAAACAGCATTCTGTAAATATTGCATGTATGTTACTTTATACAGTTAATATGTGAAAATGTAATGTAATATCTAATATTGTTACAAGCATAACAGATGAATATAAATAAAAATGGCATCGAAAGAGAGCAAAGAGAGATGCAAATTATGTTTGCATCAACTTTCAGAAGAAATACTTATATTGCTCGTTTCTGTATAATTTTTCTTAATCAAGCTTTAAGATACACTTAATATGACACATATATGAATCATGATAAACAATGTACATGTGTTACAATGAATAAAACTGATGATACACACAAGTGACCTATCTCATGATACAGTTATAGAAGAGAGTAAACGAGTACGATATCTACCTGAGAATCAGACAAGAATCTTTCGCTAGGTGGGCCAGAAAGGGAAACGTCGTAGCTGCCTGAATTCTTTCTTTTCCTCTTCTCATGATGAGACTGGAGGTTAGGCGAATCGCTATGTCTTACTCCAGTTTGCGTTTCTGGATCAGGTGATGGACACTTGTCCTCTGCCTTGTTATTTACACTATTATCGGTGAGGCCTCTGATCTGTAATGCCTCTGCTGTTTTAAGGAACATCGGTAGCAGATGCTGACTAACATTGACTTCGCCCTTATACATAAAGTGCAGCAACGCCTTCATTTCCGTGTCATTGACATCCTTGAGGAATATGATTGGATGGGGGTGGGTGTTTTGCAGGAAAATGCTCTCGAAATATGGACTGCATGCAGAAAGTATGGTCTGGTGCGCTTTGAAGGTCTCTCCGACACAGGCCAGGGTCACGTCACAGAGTGCTTCTCTGGCAAGCAGTGAGCTGAGAACGTCTGTGAGGTTGGCTGGATGATTGTTCCACCGTAGACAATACTGCTGGTCCATCTTGTCTATCTCCAATCCCGACCCTACAACCAAACTAGTTGGCCAAAACTGTCTAGATAAAAACTATGCTATCACCCTGGCTATATACCGAATGATCCCCTAACCCTTAAAAAGCGCTAAACTCACACACTATCTCCACGCGCACTCTCCTATCGTCCTGACAATATCTCCCCGCAGATTAAATCGCGGCTCTCTAGACCCACACAACGTCCTCCGCGCTTCTGCAAATGTGCCACATTGCAGTATAACTGTAAAACCCTTCAGGGTTCACGCCGCGCTACTATACGTGCAGAAAACATTTTTTCGCATAACCTTAACGGCCGGAGCGAGGTAAGCCGCGCTCGAATTTCTAAACGGTGGACCACGGGCACGGGCCGCCCGGGAGGTTAGAACGCTAATTGCGACGCAGTACGTGCCACCCACGTATACGATAATAATCCGATATATTCGGAGGTGATGTTTTTGGCAATGTCAATATTCGCGAGGCTTGGGCGCCATTGTCGGCCGTGCTCTCGTCTAGCCTCCACGAGCCTCCTCGCGAAAAGACGATTTGTTGATGCCCGATTTTCTAGCCACTCGTACTAGCTAACGCGTACCCGCTTTATTTACGCGGATCCTACGCAGATTACGCCGTCGCGCATCACTCACCGCGAGATACCGCTTCCCGAATCTCCGTACGTCGATTACTCACCTCTCGCAAACTTTTTGCCATTACAACGCCACCCGACCCTTAACGTCCACTGCCATACCAATCTGCCAATGCCTACGGCCTTATTTTTAAAATACTTTTGACCTTCGTGCATCTGCCGCGGGGAATGGCGCGAAGGGCGCTCGAATTCAAACGCGGTTGAACGTACGCCGCGTCTTCTTTCCGACTGCGTGATGCGTGCGGGACGCCGCGGCCACCGGTGCGCGGCGATAACGCGGAGTGTCCCATACGAAATATATCGCAGTCGGAATATAGAGAATTCGCGCGGCGCTCGTCGCCATATCGATCTGCACCAGTGCCGGCCTTCTTATTTTCCAAATAACGCACGCTTTCATTACGTCAGCCACGCGATATGGCGCGTCAACGCGCACTATTCAAACGCGACCGAATCCTTTTTAACGATTATCGTTCTGATTGATTGATTCGTCTCTTGAAAAATCCGACAAACTGATCAGAATTTTACTGATTAATGTGATTGAATAATGTCTATAACAAACCGAATTTTACTATTTAACATAATTGAACAATATATTGTACAATTGAACACATAATCATATTTTATAATTCTACACTGAGAGAAAAATGTATTAAGTTTTAATAAATTTTTGTCTGAATAATTGAATATTTACTATAAATGTAAACTTATATTTATTTCGTACAAAAACAATTAATTTGATTATATTATTATTTTATTTAGCGTAAATAAATTTTATATCAATATTATTTAAACAATTATTTAAAATTAAGGATTGCTTTTCTTTCAGTGTAAGAATAAATAAAATATCTTTACATTTTATGTGTATTTATAAATTCATTAAAATAAAATTTTTTAAATATCAACAAATACCAATTATTGAAAAACAATAAATTCCTGTTTATTATCAATAAACGATTGTGCGATAAGTGGTTTGTGTTTCATATTAAAATTTGGACGAAATTATTAAAACAATGTTATTTTTTATAAATTGGTTGCCATGATTTAAAGATAAAGTAATGATAATTTTCTGACCTAAACAATTAAATATAATCCTAATCATAATTTCTTAAATCAATATAAGAGATAGGATATATTTAGTAGCGTACAATCCGAGATGTAAATAAAGCGGTTGCTTCAAAGCCGATGCATTTTCGAGTGGCCCCCTCGAAGTAACTTAATTTCGTCTATTCTCTCACCATGTCTGGTATTCAATTTAATGCACATGTTTAATAAACTTCGTTTGTGAAAATGTGTTGAAATATACTTTACTAATATATGTTAAAAGAAGAAAGAAATTCACCTTTTTTTCAGTTATATTTGTAACCTTCCTTCTTGTTATTAATTTTTTAATAATAATATCTTCAGTAATATATATTAATAAAAACTAATTTTTTAAAATATATATATATTATAATTAATAATCCTGCCCATTTCATATGTTGAATCTTTTCCCAAAAAAAATTTTAATTAAGCTGAGAAGAGAGATTTAAGAGTAATTTAGCAAAAATATTCTTGAATTATAATGAAAAATATAAAAATAATATTTGTCTCGTTATAACATTTAATATCTAAAAAATTAAATTATTATGGAAATTTCTCTTCTGCAATTATTTATTTTATTACTGTTTCAATGTGTATCTTTTTATCCAGAACTAATCTCTAGAACTTATCGACTTTTGCAAGATTTTGCAACATACTTTATTTTTTTCATTTTCAATTATTTAATTTAAAAAATCTAGCAGTATTAATAATTAAATTATTATAATTTTTTTACACTGTAATTATTAGTTTCACTATTAATGTGCATTTCTGTTCATTCAAAACTAGTTTCTGCGTTCTTTGAAAGATCTTATAACATTCTTTATATTCTTTAATCTCTGCCTATTAATTTTACGATATATATACGAACAAGTTTCGTATGTACGCCAAGTTAGTGTATTAAAGATAGAAAAAGAATCGCTAACTGTGTTATCTTTTGCCTCGTTTTTTCTCTCTAATGTACCAAGCCCACGAACGCTCATCGTAGCTGAAAACGCGGATTAAAATCGCGGGGCCTTCGAGAGCGCGGCTCGTTTAAATACCGGTCGTCGAGGCGCAACACGACGCGTAGAAAGGGATGTTCTCACGGTTTTCATTTATTTGGAGTTAATCGTGGAGCTCAACGGCGCGCGAGAATAAAATCGGGCGTTTCGACCCTCCGGTCTTTAAATCGAGCGTCATCGTAATTGCTGAAAGAGCTCATGCCAAACAGTAGCTTGATATACGAAGGGAAAATAGCGCGAAATCGCGCTTTCCACGCGTGTTCCATTTCGCGCAGAGAATCCACATCACGCGGGCGGTGCGTACTCCCGGAGACGCTTTAACTTCATTTGGTGGCAATAAACGATAATTCGCGGAGAGTTTCTGATATTAATTCGGCCCTCCCCGCCGGTACTCTCTCACCAAAACGATAATCGTGTTATGCCCGTGTAGAATCAATAGGCACCGGGGAAAATTGGAAAATCTGCTCAACCGAGGTTACCAACGCGAGATTTACAAGCACCGAACGGCTGTTAACAGATTTAATCCGCGCTTTCATTGGTATCGCTGGAAATTATGTTTCACGGATATATGTATATCCCGCTCAAAGATAGAAATGCGATACATAAAACGCCCATACGTCAAAACGACTGATGCGATAAACACGATGTAAACGAAGAATTCAATATTCCCATATCCGTTTTCTCCCCGTTTTTGATAAAATAACGCCGCTAATGCGGCTTGAAAAACGCCTAATTAATCACATTCGCGATGAAATTGTCGCGATGCGCGACGCAATATCTGCCGTTTAAATTCGATTCCGCGTTTCCGCTGCATTTCGAAATGCACCGGTCCGGCCTGACCGGGACGGAATTCATTTTGCAATCACGGACATGTCCTAATTGTACACCCGGTTTCGTAATTTCCCGTTTTCCCTTAAATGAGGTATTAATCGCCGGAATGCAGACGCGCAAAAGCTGCATCTCCGTTTACTCGCTCGGCCCGAAGAATACTGAATAATATCTCGTTTAAAAAGCTCCTGGGACATCTGACGTGCATATATACGTGTATATAAACGCGGTATGTACGAAACTATATGTCTGGTTCTCTGCTAACAATTTAAACTGTGACGTGTCAGCATTATGTTAGTGGAAACGTCGTCCGTTTCCGAGCAACTTTCAGCAATTCCTGCGAACACTCGATTCTGACTCAACAAAGAAGAGATGAAAGGGAAATAATATAAGAAATACTTGTATCTGTGAAGATTAAAAATAAATTCAGCATCCAAGGGTATCGACAATTTTTCTATTTTACAAATAAAAAATTTGTTTTAATAAGATTCTAGCTAATATTAATTATTATATAGCTCATTAGAAAGAGTTTAGAGATCGAGATTTGTTGCGGTATGTGTAAATCGGACCAAATCCGGCGACGAGTAATTAGGCTCGACTATGAGCCCGATTACGGGAGACCGTTTAATTACACGCGTCGCACAGTCCCCCCCCCCCCCCCCCTATCGCATTTATTAAGCCAAACTAAACCCGCGTACTGAAGGTACTCTGATAGAAAGATTCTCTTTGGTCCGTCTTAATAACAACATACTAACTTTAAGGACTAGATAATTACCTCTATATACGTATTTACTGTATATGCCAAGCGGTTCTTCATTAAGAGAATCCGCGAGTATCTTGTTCTTTAACGAGCTATCCGCCGAGATAATGAAATATTCAACGATAGACAAGTATCCTATTGTGTTTAAGTTTTTTGATAAGTAGTCTGAATAGCGGAAGTTATAATACATATATATATATATTTTAGGAAAACGTCGATCTATTTGCAGAATGTCATAATACTGTTAAATTCATACCGTCAAATTACACTCGAAATATCAATTAAACCAAAATATTGTAATTCAATAATTTGAGTTACTTTTGATCGTTTCTGTAAGTCGCGACTGCTCCTATTCGATACGTAATTAGCTTAACTAAAGCATAACAAATTAAACAATTTATCTCAAGAAACTTAAATTCAGTTTATTATTAACCAAGTGCATAAAATAACATGGATGTTGTTTACTTTGAAACTAACAATAGAAATAAATTGATTTACATTTTCACGTATATGGAAGTTAATAATAACAAAATGTTACTTAAGTTTTGAGTTACCGTTCCTTCTTTGATATTTAATAGTTATACCTGCTTAACATCACAATCGATTTTTTCAAAAAATATTGATACAGGAATTATATCGATTTCATATCCTATCCGTTTCGGCCTGCACAACTTTTTCGATCTACACTGAAGAAAAAACTTTTAATAAATATTTACTGAATGTTAAACGTACACTTATTTGATACAAAAAAAACCTATTAATTTGATTTAACAATCATTTATTTATTAAATAAATATTTATTTATTGTTAATAAATGTTTAGTTAAGATAATTCAAAAAATGTATTAAGATTTAGTAAATTTTTTTTCAGCGTAGTGAATGCTTCAATTGGCGTTGCGTATTCGTGATTGTGCCCTTTTTATATATCTTATATACGTCTAATATATTCTCTAACACATCTACATATAATATACTTAATAAAGACCTAACTAATATATATATCCTCGTGAAAAATTACCTACGTCTTTCTTCACAAGACAATATAAAATAAAATTTCTGTTTTCATGAAACAGACCTGCGTGTTTTCTGCATGCCTGCGAGACGGGCATCCATCCCATGATTAAGTGGGGCCGACCTTGGCCCTTTGACGCCGGAAATTGCGACCACACCGTCGAAATGCATCGACGATCGATGTGTCGCAGCCACAGCGAGCCGCGCGCTGGGAAAAGCATTTCCGGCGCAGGGCTTGCGGCGCGTTTATCTTCCGGAAGTACCCCTAGTTGATCTTCGGCGGGTAAATCTTCACACGTAGATCTTCGCACGCGCGTATTTTCTCGTTCTCGATCCGCTGGCGGATCAATGTATTCCCGTTTTCTATCGACTCTATTCTATGTGACCGAGCCATTCGGTTTCTTCTTGAGCAAAGTACAGTTCGCGAGATGTGGAAAAATAGATTTCACCGCTCCGCAAACGGCGAGTATATAGAAAAATAGAAGCTATTCGATTCTCTCTTATTTTTCGCTTTTCTCCATATCTTTAAAACGCGAAATGCTAAAGTGACGACTGCATCTCTTTCCTTCTCCCTCTTCGAGATTCCCGCTCGACGCCGCAAATCGATTAGGAATTGGAAGTACGAGTCCGTGACGCAAACAACAAGCGATAACGTGGAAATGCTCGGAAAAAGCTTTATGTAGGACAACCGTGCCGATAAAGGACGCGCCGCTGCTGCACTCGGGCATGCATTTTCCCGACCACAATGCAATCGGAGCGCGGTCGCGAGACGAAGGGCGGGTTGGGCGGGCACGCTCGCTTTGAGCACACGCCGGGGATCTTCAAACGCACCCCCAACGTTCCTCTCACGAAAGCGAACGTCGAACTACTTGTACATGTCTCGTAAACATCACGACACCGCGCTCGCTCGCAGCCAGAATACCCTTCGACCTCGTAGAACGTCTATAAGCGAACGTATCTAGCTTGAGAGCTTCAAAATATCTTTCACCAAATGACTCGAGAGACCGAGTGACGCTGCGAATAATAGAAACACTTTGAGACGTCTCTTACCCGAGTAACTGCCCTCGAGAAAGTGATGGGAGCTGGTAAACTTTGGAGAACTAAGCTCACACCCGGGAGTACCCGTCTCTCATCCAGAGAGACAAACCATCACAAAGAGTTACCCGACTCATTTCGCGAAATATTCGGCTTCTCGAATCAACCTAGAATCTCCGAGAGTGATTTTCTCGACTTTCTTAAGCTTAGATAGCTCGCTGATGTTAGAGGAATTAAGGTAATAATAAGATGAGTGCAAAATTCCGCATAATGGCGATAGCAATACTGGAAACAATGAATCAAATTTAAATTTGCTGCCCAGACTCTCTGCATAACGCTACATAATGCATGAGTCATAAGAAAATTAGTCAAAGTTCTTCATTTCATACTCTAATTACTTGATTCTCTTATAAGCTTTTGCTGCAATAAGCCGTTACCTAAATTAAGTTTAAAATTTTAAGCCATAAAAAATTGGCCAATCATAATCGATTATTCTTCTCATATTCGACTGCGATTGGTCAGGGTCTTACGGCTTTAGGCTTTTAGAGCTTAAGAACGACAGCGCAAAGTCTTGCATAAACGCATAAGAATATTAATCAAAGACCCCCTCTTCTTTTTTTTCTTTCCATGAAATAAAAGACTCTGATTGGTTGATTTTCTTATGCTTTATGCGATATGCGTTATCGGAAAGTTTTTGCTCCAGCTTCATATAACGATTTATTGTAGAACGTGTGTTATGCTTTATGTCTTATGCACAAAACTTTCCTGCGTATAATAGCGGTAACACAGCTAATGAAATTTTGGCCCAAATCTACAGCGCATCCACGGGAATGCTGCACTTGTCTTATTACACTTTGGCCCAGTTTTCCATTTTCTGGTTAACTTGTGATTAGCAGCCATTTAACCTGATGTTTTATCTAATGCGCTTCATGTATAATGATGTCATGAATAAAGCTCATTGAGTAGAACATCAAATTAAGTTCAACCGCAAGCTATAACTAGATAATGAAAAATTGGGCCTTTGAGAAGAATTACGTCTCCTTTCCTCTTTTACTGTTCTTTCGCCCGGAAAATTCTCTCGCACGTCCGATCTTGTTTCTTGCCGCGTGTCAAAAGGGAGATCGCGAAAGGCCGGGCGTTTACCCTCACCCACTCCCAGTGATTGAATGGATGCGTTGTTTGGCAGCGAACTACCACGACCTGAATCGGCGCCCGAACTTGGAAGCAGCGCCAACCACCACGATCACGACGACTACGACAGCGACGGCATAATGGTCGTGTCGAGAAGGATCGCAGAGGGGATTAAACGCGGGCGTATCCACCGTCGGGAAAACAAAGCGGCCCGGGACGGCTCTTTGTCGTACCGGAAATAAAAAAAAAAAAAAGAAAAAAGGGAATGGACGCACCGCAACGGCGAAGTTGAGCGGGAAAGTTATCTGCGATTAGCGCGCCTCGCGATAAACGCGCGATTAAATTTGCATAATAAGTGGCGGATTATTTCTCGACGGCGCTACGCTAGATTAAAAATTAAGCTCGACGTAGAGTCGCATGGCTCTAGCCGCACATGTGTGTCCCTCGAGTGTCTGCGCAAGTTTACGTGGCGCGCATATAGTCGTTCGCCGTGAGAAAAATGTGGCCGGCGCTGAAATACGAAACCGGAATTAGTCGGTTAGCATTCGTAACGGCCCGCCGCATTTGTAATTAACGCGCTATGAATCGCGCGGCTATCTCTACGCGAGGGCACATCCGCGGAATTAATCGCGAGGGATCGATGCCGATATCTCCCGCATACCAATCAAAATTATGCTTCACGCTGAAAGATCCGATGCGCTAATTGTCGTTGCTCAAACAGGAGGACCGACGGCGATGAAATTTATGCATCAAGGTTCGCCTTATTCAAAAGTTACGCTGAAAGGTCCAGTTTTTCAGTTTTTTGTACAAGATATGCATATTTCTAGTAATATTCTTTCTTACATTTTCGGAACGTATGTTTTTCCTTTTTATTAACTAATTACAATATAATTTTTTCATAAATGTGCCAAGAAATTTTTGTAAACAAAGTTCCTTTGACATGAAAATTGAAGTAAAAATACATCTTTTTTTCTTCTACATTATTTTATAAATAATTTTTTAATATTATTACGATAATATTACCGACCATTTAATTAATTTTCTTATGAATGAAAATTTTCGAAACGAGACGTTCCTGAGACACGTCTCTTTCAGGCGCAACGTATGCATCAGAAATATCGGTCACCGCGAAGTGTTGTGGATGCGAAAATAAAATTTATGTTTGAGATATTAAATTTTTCAGCGGTTGTGCTCTATTACTATATCAAATTCCACTTTATCAATCGTTCCGACTCGGACGAGGAAGCGGAAACGCGAGATACGGCAGCCTCGCGAGGCACGTTGCTCGAAAGTGCGGCATATTTCATCGGGAATACCCATGCACCTTTTACTGCCAGCCAGTCATAATACTCGCGCGAATGAATAGCGAAAATATGGAAATTCGAATCCAACCGTATACCGTCCCAACTGCATTCTTGCACCTGGCTGCAAGCAGTTGCCGCGTTGCACCGAATTAACGCGAAATCTACACACATTTTACCGCGCATTTTTCTGCTGATAAGTCCTTCGATATTTCCTTCAATTTCGAGACGGTGATATAGTTTTGATCAAATGGATTGTCGAGAGCAGTTACGATATTGATATTCAACGACAGCCGATCTAAAGGTACGTCTTTCAAGAAAAGTCCAAATAATGACTTTTGATTAGAAAATTGAATTGTTTATCGACATTTATAAGAATCAGAATAAAATAATTTTAACTTTTTTTTCATCCTTTGTAGACACGGACGAAGAATTTATGTTGTTCTATTTTCCCAGCACGCGATTTCCCACATTACTTTTCTCAATTCTCGTTCGAGACGACGATCATGTTTCGTCGAATTTTCTATTCACTTTCTGAACTTTTCGCGCGTTCGACTGATTTTGTTTACTTCACGTGGACGAGTCGGAAAATGTGAGATACCTTTCGTCCATGCAAATTTATTCGCATCGCCTCTCCTCACTGTCAATTCTGAAGATAGCGAGCGACCCATACAGCACCTTGCAAATTTCTAAAAACGTCCCAAAACATCCTAAAGATGTTTTCAGGATGTTGTCGGATAAAGTGTGCCGTATGAGAAGTTAGCGAAGGGAAAACAAGTTGCGAGCGACGGTGCTTCGTTGCGAGCAATTTCGGGGCAATTTCGAGGGAAACATGGTGATGTGACGCGACGTCGTGACGCAGAAAGCTTCGTCGTTCCTCCGTCCGCTTTCCCGCCCACCCTTTGCCGCGGGAGAAGTCGGACGGCGGAAACGCGCGTGCCGTCGATCGTGCGATCGATAAAATCCTCCCGTGGAGTCGCGGCGTTCCCGCCCTTTCCCGATCCGTCGCGGTAAACAGCGACACGAAAGCGTAGCACGGCGCGGCGCGGCGCGGCGCGTCCCGCCACGGCGAAGAGCTTTTGCGAATCCGACGTGCCGATTCCGTGCAGTTGGACATCGCCGGCTGATTTAGGTCGCATTGTTACCTGGTTTATTGAAATTCGTGAACATGAAATCCCGTCGGCTTCCCGCAGCTTCCGGCGGTGCGTAAAGCCGTGCCGTGTCGTCGTACGTGATCCTCTTCGGGCGCTGAATGGGACGATCTTCTCTGCGGACGATCTTCCTCGGAGTAGGACGTGGAGTGGAGAAACTTGTCTTCCACTTCCAAGGAAAGCCTCCGGAAATCGGGCCGCTGCCGGACTTCCGCTCTTGCTACGTTGGAAGTCTCCCGCGCGGCTTATGTGTGTTTACTTTCGCGCACTTTCGGATTACAAAAGACAAAAACCCCGCACTTCGTACTCTCGATATACGCACGCGAAATTTTCTCAGCTCGCTTCGGCCATCGTTTGCCGTTTCGCGCGCACGCGATTCACGATCTTGATACAATTAGATCGAGATCGAGATCGAGATCGAGAGAGAGAGACAGAGAGAGAGGATGCGTGACGCACGTTACGCGCGATCACAGCAGACTCGAGAACGCGGGAACTCGCTCGTCGTCGGCCGATACGTCGCGAACGATAGAGGGT